AAAAAAAAAAATGAAATAAAGTAGACTAGAATAGAGGATGTCAATGAGCATTTTTTTGAAGCAGCTCATTTAAAATTATTTTTATTTTCTTGTCTTTTTTCCCTTTTTTCCGAGGTTTAAGAGTGTCGGTTTCGTTTTTTGACACATTTTTTTCACAGTCGGGGGTACTCAGTTGGTGAAAAAGAAAAAAAAATTTTTTCTGCAGTGCCCATTTGCTGGGACTTTTGATCGCATCCCTCATCTTTAACGAATGACCTTTAACTATCATTAATATCGTTGAAAGCGATTTTGCGTCTAGCATTTACAACTATTTAATTAAAACTGTTGCTAATTTACAAGAAAAAAAGAACTGCAAGTAAAAATAAGGCAATGTTGAAATTTAGAGTAGCAGTATAAACAAGAAAGTGTATAATGCTTTGCAGTAAAGGCAGAAAGTCTCCAGTGAATAGTTGTTGAAAATCATGTTCTTTGCAGAACGCAAATATCATACCCTTATTATTTTGAGAGCTTTCCTTCTTTCAACAAGAAATCATTTATCAGATACATTAGACAATGATTTTCTGCTTCAGTAAAAAAACGATGAGCTTAGCAGGTGACCTCAGTAATATTTGAAAACCTTCTGGCTATCGCCTTTTGAGTTTCATACATAAACCATGTCAAAGTGCTGGAGTAGACGGCTATGTGCAGTCACCGATAAAATTCGGTTCCTTTTATTATGGTTTATAATGCAGAAATATCCTAACCAATTCGAATGACGGTTTCATTCTTAATTCGCTTACTTGCCTTGCTGACAACCGATAATTAGTAGTCAGCAGTTAGGCCGAAAGTAGTTTTAGCTAGGCTGACCGCAGAGTCTTCTAGAGATAAAATTGTTGCCCTTTTCAGTCTTCAACGCAGAAGGCCACTAGTGATGTACTGAAAATGAGTTTTTATAAGTCAAGCAGAAACTAAATAGAGTTTTGGTTCTATTAAATGACTGTAAGCAAAATAAGTTGTAAAAAAATGAAAGAAAAAACACAGGCCAAAAAAAAGCAAAGAAATATTGCTGAATGGCTGAGGGAATAACCGGAAGGAAAACAAAACGAGGAGTAAAAAGAGCAATAAATACTTCCTAACGGTTCTTTCTTTGTGGTTGTTAAAAGGAGCGTTTGGGAAAAAATCATCAAAAGTTTTGTATTCTCTCGCAAATTGCTCAACAAACTCCATTTTTATTTTTGTTTGTTGTTACCATTAGTTTTTACGTAAGTTCTTCAAAAAAAAAGAGCAAATTTTTTTTTTGCTGAGGGTAACAATTAGCAATAAAGAGCGAAGAAATGAGACTGGGCTGACTTTTGTTGTTGTCATCAGCACCCCGCTTAATGTTTGATGGCTTTCTGCTATTGAAATGGGCGAAGATGACAAAAAAAAACACTAAATGAAAAAAAAAAAAAGAAT